ATTACCAAAATCGTTTTAGAATCATAACTTAAGAAGTGAAATAATTGCGACTCTCGACTCAAAAGTCGATTCTCATTTTGCCATTTTCTAACCTATTTATTGAAATTTTAAAAAAATTATAATTTTTACATTTGAATTTTTTTTTTTTTTTTATCCGGATTCCTTCTCTTTTTTAAAATGATTACTAAAAGTAATCATAAGTTTGATTATATTACTTTTCACAGTGAAAAGAAAGTTAAAAAGCAAGATATTAAAAGTTAAATAAATTTACATAATATAAAAATTAAAAATTAGTAAAAAAAATATATATATATTTGACCTTTTCTATTTAAAATCACTTATCTCAATAAATTGCATCAATAAATTCGTTTGAAATCATTATTTATTTATTTCTGGTATTTTGATAAAATATTTTTCTGAAATATTATATAAACCTAAAAATATACTAATAATTATAAATTTCGAAACATACTGTAAATGAAATATTACAAAAAATTTATCTCGATCGATCGCATGTCCTTTTCCATGTATATTTTTTTTAAAAAAAAAGTTATATATAAACCTTTATAAAATTTTTAAGCCAAGGCACGACACTCAATTTTAAAATTAATACAAATAATTACAAACTAAAATAGATAAACTGGTTCCAATATCTATCATAGAGACAGATGATCCCAACCTAGTCCTAAAAAGGTTTATATTTTTACACCATTAAAAGTTTCGTTGATCGATTTTGAATACGAAAATGGGAGAGTAAATTAAAGACAATGGAAAATGGATTACACAATTAGTAAATCAATGCCAAACATGAAGGATTAGCATCCTAAAAGGTCGAAGACAAAATTTTACGTGTATGTTATACGTGCTCGCCGAACAGGAGGCCATTCATATATATAGAATTTTGCAAAAATTGTGAAAAGTGATTTTAAGCTACAGTAACTTTAAAAAGTTATCGCCGTTTTCAAATTAGTGCGACCCCCCGCGTGTCACCCCCTAAGGAAATCGATTTCCAAAAATTTGCGAAAACCCGGAATTTTCCTGAATAACTACGTAGGAAAGGGTCAATAAAAAAGTGTTTACGTTACACAAAGTTTTATCACTCACTTATAAGCAAAATATTTGAATAATTGAAAATTTCCTCCAGAAATCACTAGCAATCGGACCTTTTCTACAAAGTTATTCAGAAAAATTCCGGGTTTTCCACATTTGCGAAAACCGATTTCCTTAGGGGGGGTGACATGCAGGGGGTCGCACTAATTTGAAAACAGCGATAATTAAAAAAGGCTTTTAGCATATAAGAAAAACAATTGAAAATTTTATTATGTATTTTTTTTTTAATTAATATTAAAAGATTATCTAAGATTGAATACTTTTTGTAACCATTAAACTTGCATAAATTTTATTTTAATTTTTATATTAATAAGACATACAGTACTTTACATATTTTTATGTTTATGATTTGAGTTTCGCAAAACGTAGACTCGTTATCTGTTATTATAATAATGATTTTTGGTATTATAAATTAATGGGAAAAAATACAGTAAAAAAAAATTTCGGTAAAGCATAAAAACTCCGGAAATTAACCGGAGCATGTGAAACTCCTTCGGTCTTTCCCATTTTAAGAAAGAACCATGAATTGTTAAAAGGCATTTTTATGATATTCTAGAAATTCTGCAGCGTCACGACCGGAAAAATCTCGGAATTATAAAATTTTACCGGATTTAGAAAATCCGGGTAAATTATAATAGATTTTCCACGCTGCTTAAGAACTCAATTATAACGCAAAGGGACAAATCCGCACATAAAATAAAGTTCGAATAAGATTTTTAGCATAAAAAAAGTGTGTTCTAGGACCTTGTACTACATTATATACATTACCAAGTGTTTTTTTTGAAATTCCTTTTGTGTTTCCTGACATGATCGACATCATTTTGAAATGGCAAAATGGCAATAATTGTCAAAATACCAATCTTCTGATCATCTGTAGAACCATTTTCTTGATTTTTTTGACTAACGCATCAATTATCGTATCTTAATAATTTCACATGTTCATTACATATGAAAGCATCGGTAACAAAAATAGTTATTACTAACCCGTTATTTAGGATCTATCCCTTTAAGAAATTTTATTATCTGAATAATAGAACGTTCCTTTTTTTGATTTGTATTCCGATTTTTTCTATTTTATCAGGTTATGATCATGATCCTTTATTATATATATATATATGAAAAAGTCTTTTTACCGATGTATCATAGTTACATCATTGCGTCTACAAATATATAATAGTTGTGCAGATTAAATACCAAATAAAGTTAATACTGCATTATATTTGTAATAACTTAATTCTGAATTTTTTGACATAAATAATAATTTATTAATTATTGAATGAAATAAATGAATATGATCCTCATTGTACGTACACCATACTAGCTATATTTACGCACCATACCATATATACAACAACATATTTAGTTAGCGATGAATTTGAAGTTTAATTTTCGTCCATTATCAGTCTTTAGTAGGTTAATAAACTGGTTGACTCTCATTTAAGCCTACTAATTAAGCGAGGGAGCGGAAATTGGATATAAATATGATTCACATTATCAATGATTGTAAAAAAAATTTGAATTTTTTTTCTTTATATGCTACCAAGCAAAAGAAAATAATAGTAAATATGATTTCGAAATTATTCGAAAATATTGATTACCTTTCATTGATAGTTGTCGCATTAATAACTTATGTGACATATTATTATTATAAGTACTTTAATCGTATAAATCCTTTGCCTAGTCCTTTTCCATTCCCATTATTTGGAAATTTACCTCAATTATATATTTGGCATGGTGGACATTTTAAAAAGTTTTTAGAATCTAATCATAAGAAATATGGTGATTTATTTGAGTTCAATCTTAACACACGAACTATAACTCTAGGTCGAGTAGATCATATTGAAAAACTTTTATTAGCTTCATCAAAAAATCCATATATTAAGACAATTTCTGATAATGATACTAAAGGATTTCATGAATTAGAAATGATGGGAAAAGGACTATTTTTTAATCAAGATTATAAATCATGGAGATATAACCGTCATTTTTTTACACAAGCTATTTTATCACCAAAATTTTCTAATGAAGCTGTTCATTTAGCAAATAAACTTTTTAATGAATTGGAGAGTTATTGGGATAAATTATATCTTAAGGAAGGGGTTACTAAAGAAAATAGAAAAAAAATTAATATTTCTCCATGGTTTAATCAATTTACAAATGATATGGTCATCGCATTATTAACTGGTGAAAGATCTTATACAATGGCTGGGTGTTTCAATGAACTTAGTGATAATGAAAAGGCTGAACGTCCATCTGCATTAGTAGATGAAACCGTAAAATTTGTTCATGCATTACGTAAACATCTTATAGGTATAATAATGTTTCAAATAGTCTCTCCTTTTTTAAGACATTATTTTCCATATTTTAAGAATAAATCAGATGATTATATTCAAAACATGAAATTTGTAAATCAAAGAATAGATGCAATTATCAAAAGACGTAGACAAGAAATTGAAAATACACCATTAGATAAACCTTTACAAAACGACATGTTGACATCGATAATTACTGCAAATACACCTCGTGATATTAATTATACCAATAAAATTGATAATAAAGAAGTTATGAGACCTATGACTGATCCTGAAATTCGTGGGATTATATCTGATGGAATAATTGCTGGAACTGATTCCGTGAGTGAATTTAGTACTTTCAATATATAATTAATTTTTGATAATTAATATTATTTAACGCTTTATTCTTTTTTCAACAGACTGCGAATACTATTTCATTCATTGTCTATTACCTTGCACACTATCCAGATGTTAAAAAGAAAATGTTGAACGAAATTGATAGAATTTTTCAAGATGATAAAACTCGTCCAATTACCGAAAATGATATTCATAATTTAAAGTATTGTGAAGCGATTATAAAAGAAGTATCTCGCATTTTCTCAATCGTAAATTCACTTCCAAGATGTCTTGAAACCCCTAATGAAATAGGAGGTTATCAATGGCCAACTGAAACAATGATTAGAATTAATATTGATGCTATTCATCATAATGAAGAATATTGGGAAGAACCAAATAAATTTAATCCTGATAGATGGATGGTTGAAGGGTTTGAACCAAAGAAAAATTCATTTATTATGTTTGGAGGAGGATTAAGAGTCTGTCCGGGAAGAAAGTTAGCAATGATTGAATTAGTTTGTTTAATGGCTTTATTATTTAGAAAATATGAAATTGATTTAATAGATAAGGAAGCTCCTTTGAAAACTGAATCTGGTGTTATAACTGTTTGTGCTGAATTGTTTGTTGAAATTAAATTAAGAAATTAATATTTTCGTAAGTATTTCGCAAGATTTAATAATTACTATGTAAATTGTTAAATTAGTACTTTAAATAAAAAAAATCTTTTTATGTATGAATTTGACATTTATCAATTTTTTTTTTTTGATTTTGTAAGACCTGAGTAATTTGGACTCAGGGTACCCAAATTCTTATAACGTTTTACCGATAGCAAAAAAAATTTTTAGCTCGATTTTCCGCTAAAATTGTAATCTAGGTTTATGGTGCATAAAATCGATTATGAAATCGCATAATTTAAGAAATGAAATAATCGCGATTGACCAATTCTAAAATAGGATTCCATTTTCTGGCCTAATGAAAAAAAAATATTATATTAATATCTGAATTTTTTTTTTATTTCCGGATTCCGGGTCAATTATTAATATGTATTTAAAGATTATTAAAAGTGATCATGAGTTTGATTATGTCATTTTTCATAGTGAAAAAGAATATTAAAAAGCAAGATATTAATGTTAAAAACTAATGTTAAAGCAAAATAAATTTACATGATATAAAAAGACTTTGTATTAAAATTATCCAATAAATTGCGTCAATAAATTTGTTTGAATTTACTAATTAAAATAATTTATTGAGAATGTCAAAATGTCACCAGTGGTGATTATCACCGCTGGTGATTTTCACTAGTCCGATTTTATAAATTTAAAAGATTAAATATTAACTACACATATTAAACAGTTATTCTATATGTAAATTTACAAGAAGGAGAGATTTGTCTAAGGTCAAAAAGGCTGTTTTCAGATAATTTTCGCGAAAAATGCAAATTTTGATTTTTTTTTTTCACTTTATTAAAAGTTTTTTTTTTTTGATAAAAATTTCAAAATTTTGTCATGGTTAATATCAAATTAACATATTTTTTTTGACAACATTATAATGATAGAAAACAAGTCCTCCATTTTCCCTATTTTATTTATTTGTACCTTGTAACGCAAAGGTTATTATTTTTAAGTATAAAATAAAAAATAAAGTAATAGTTGTTTATTTTTATATACGTACACCATGAAGTACCCATAAAAAAATTTTAATGAAAATTTTTTTTAACAAATGAATTTAAGACATGTAATGTAAAAAAAAAAAAAATTTAATTAATTCCGAAAAAAGGTAATGAATAAGCCCCTATGACTAATTTAAAAAAATCTTAGCCACAGTAAAATCGTTTATTAAGGAAATATTAAGGAAATAAATTGGCGAAAAAAATCATAATTTAATAATACTAATAAATAAATAATTTAAATTAATTAAATAAAAATAATAAATATAAAAATATAAAAAAATAAAAATAATAATACTGAATGAAACAAAAAATTTTGTGAAGAATACTAATAAATAAAATTGTTAAGAAAAAATAAAAAAATTTTTTTTTTCTTTACGAAAAATGAAATTTATTACGTGTCTATGTGTCAAACGATTACGTGTTCAAAAAGTAATTTATTTAACATATTTAATAATCGATAAGCCTGCAATGACTAATTTTAGCAAACAAAGTATAATTGTTCATTACCTTCTTAGGAAATATTGAGGCTTAATGATATGGAAAGCCGTCCTTGACAAAAGGTTGATATCCAGACATCATGTTGGATAATGTCTAGACATCATGTTTGATATATGTAGAATAATGTTTGTACATCATTCAACATGATGCTCAAGCATCAACCTATGGCACGCCGGACTGGACAGATGTTTAAACGTAAAAGCTAAATCCTGTCTCTTATACACATCTAGCTGAAACAATAATCAGAATTAATATTGATGCTATTCACCACAATGAAGAATATTGGGAAGAGCCTGATAAATTTAATCCTGATAGATGGATGGTTGAAGAGTTTGAACCAAAGAAAAATTCATTTATTATGTTTGGAGGAGGATTAAGAGTCTGTCCAGGAAGAAAGTTAGCAATGATTAAATTGGTTGGCTTAATGGCTTTATTATTTAGAAAATATGAAATTGATTTGGTAGATAAGGAAGCTCCTTTAAAAACTGAATCTGGTATTTTAACTGCTTGTACTGAATTATTAGTTGAAATTAAATTAAGAAATTAATATTTTCGTGAGTATTTAAAGGATATGCAATATTTTTAATCATGTTAAGTATTTTAAATAAAAAATCTTTTTAACGCGTATGAATTGTGGTCGTCAAAATAGCTGTGTTATTGGCATAATAAAATTGATTACCAAAATCGTTTTAGAATCATAACTTAAGAAGTGAAATAATTGCGACTCTCGACTCAAAAGTCGATTCTCATTTTGCCATTTTCTAACCTATTTATTGAAATTTTAAAAAAATTATAATTTTTACATTTGAATTTTTTTTTTTTTTTNCATGATGTCTAGATATCATGCTGATCAAATTACCAAATATAGGGGTCGTCTAAAGCGGGGGCAAATCACATGATATGATTTCGGGATTAGCCGGAAGTTTCCCATGATTTCTCAAAAATAACAAACGATTATTGGTTTAATTGGTATCAACATTACAACATCGCGCATTTTACTCATTTTCTAAGTAAAAAAAACTTTTCACTTTATTATGTCTTTTCCATTAACTGTTACTCCTGTGTTTTCAGCTCCCGCTCCTTTAATTATAACGTCAACATCAAATCTCACACCAAACGAAAAGCAGGATCTTCTTTTTGATGTAGACCGTACTTTAGAAATCCCAATGGAGGTTTTTAATGATGAGTGGTGGCCGTTAGTTTCAAATATTTGGATGAAATGGGACTCGTATGAATATGTAAATGGTGATATTTGGAAAACTTTCGCCTGTCGTTTTATGAAGCACCACGAATCAAGTACCTGAGAAAAAGAAAATGTTCCAAACGAAAAACGCCGAATAACCAAGACATGACCACCTGACGTATGTTCTGCGATGATTAAAGTTTTATGGATAGCTTCTTCAGAGGTAGTTCAAGTAGAGCGATATAAAAACTCCCCCAACCATACACATTCTTTATCAGAAGTCGATAGGCTGAAATGGCCAAAAGTCATTAGAAGTTTAGTTGAAATAGAAGCGGCCAAAAATTATCCTCCTCCAGCTATCACATCTGCCGTCAAAGAATACGTGACGTTAGAATTAGATCTTGGTGAATATGCGCGCGAGCTGAAGCGCAAAGAAGTAATGAACATTAAATACAAAATTCGTGGGCCTACGGAAACCCGTTTTATTGGGAATTCGAACTTAAAATCAGACATTTTGGAATCTGTTTCTTTTTTAACAGAACAGGGGTATCTTGTTGAAAATTTCAGCGTCTACCAACGATCTACTAAAGGTACCGTGTTTGCGCACCCAGAGCAACTAAAGAAACTTGAACGCCATAGATGGTTGACACTTATAGATTCAACACATAAGACCAACCGGTACGACTGGCGTCTATTTACTCTTTACGTTCGTGACACTTTCGGATGTTAGAAAGTAGGCACCCATTTTTTCGTAAGCAATGAGGATGCAGATACAGTTGCAGAAGCTTTAACAATAATCCGCAATAAGTATTGTCATTGGTCCCCCGTTACATACTTGCGGATCATAGTAACATCGAAGCTAAGAGCATTAAAAAGACATTTCATGGCATAGATGCTGGTGAACAAGAGTGCCAAGTCATCCTTTGTATTGTTCATGTCATGAGAACGTGGATGCAAAAAATTAATGAAAAAAAAACTCGAGACACCATGATCGAGGCGATGCATAAAAGAACAAAGATTGGATGTGAAAATCTTGTTCAGGATGCTATTAATCATTGTTCCGTTCCTTATATACAAAATTACATTAAAAGAAATTATACGAAAAATACGGAGAAATGGGGCTTATGGGCTCGTCAACATTCCCCCCTGCTTTTACAGGTCACATCAACGAATTTGTTAGAATCTTTCCATAGCGAATTAAAGAAAATAACGTCTTCATTACACGGTTTGATTGGTACATGACGATTTTTCTTTGTTATTTCACCTGCATGCCAACTCAAACTTTTTATATTTTAGGTGCCGTTCACAACATTGTCAATATCGATTACAAAAAAAGATCTGAAGCCGAAATTGCATCCTTTGATTTTCGTATCAAGAAAATATCCGTGTATGGTGTTGACGATGATATTCTCGAAGAAATCAAAAAATTCCCCTTTCCGTTTCAACAATTAATCATTAAAGAGGCCTGTGCTGTGATGAATAGACTTGAAAAAGGAAAAGGTGTTCCAGGTCTGGCTTCTCTCGATTGTCACTGCTTGTTTCACCATCAATATTTATTACCGTGTAAACACATTTTTCACGAACACATGTACGGCAATAAGTTGTTAACTTCTGACGTATGGCAAATGTTTCGTGAAATTTTTGAAGAAAGCAGATTTGAAGTGTATAAAAGTCGAGAGTCGTTTATAGAATATATTCAAACGGAGTAACAGAAAAGAGCTGAAGATCAAAGAATTGCTGTGGGTGAATTAACCGAAAGAATGCATGACAGGTATTGGCGTGTTGAAGAGACAGGTGATGCCGAGAGGACGCAATCTTTCATTTCTATGTTAGAAGCTACTGTGAATCCGATTATCTCGCATTTTGATGATAATTCAAACGAAAAAACGTAGAATTATATATTAACATTTAGTATTCGGGTTATATTAAAATTGTATAGGCTTAGCCTCGATTAAAATTATTTTGAATTTTAATATGTAAATATTAAAAAAAAATTACATTTTAAATTTTTAAATTTAAATAAAACAATAAATATGGGCGGGTTTTATTAATTTTTTTTTTTGTTTATGAAACCTTATCTGTTATAATTTTATAATTTTTTTTACTGATTTACTGATTTATTGATATTTTTAATATTTTTTACTTCGTTAGTACGTATCTTTTTGTTCAATAATCGTTTGTTATTTTCCGAGAAATCACGTGATACTTCCGGCTAATCCCGAAATCGTATCACGTGATTTGCCCCGCTTTAGACGACCCCCAAATATAGTATATTTATGAGTTACACAAAATAAAATTTACTATATTTAGTAACATGATGTCTAAGACATCATGTCGGTTGATGCTTGAGCATCATGTTGAATGATGTACAAACATTATTCTACATATATCAAACATGATGTCTAGACATTATCCAACATGATGTCTGGATATCAACCTTTTGTCAAGGACAGCTTTCCATATAAATAATGTACAAACATCATCCTACATATATCAAACATGATGTCTAGACATACCATCATGATGTCTAAATATTATATTTCATGATGTTTGGACATTAACCTTTTGTCAAGGACGGCTTTCCATATAATGAGTTGCATGATCAAGATAGATTTTAAGATCATTAAAAAAAAAATTTTTTTTTTCGATCTACATATACGTTTAAGGAATAATTTGATTGAAATCTTAATTAATCATAAAATAATAAAATAAATAATTATGTTAAAATGAATGAAAAAAAATTTTTTCTTCCCACATGAAGTGAAACAAAAATTATTTTTTCGAAACTTAAATTACACTATGGAGCCTCCGGCTTTTTGTTTAATGATAAACTTTTTCCCATATGAAGTGAAATAAAAAATATTTTTCGAAAGTTAAATTAAATATACATTATTGAGCCTCCGGGTTTTTGATTAATATTGAGTATTCCCTATAAAAAAATCGGGATACGTTTTTTATAAAGTTTTTATACGATTTTTTTTCCTTAGAAATAACGTATCATAATAGGATACGGAAAAATGCACAATTCCGTATCACTAAAAACATGGTTTGGATACGGAATTTGCACGGAATTCATATGGAATTTACATGATTTGATCACTGATTTTATCACGAAATTTATACGATTTGGTCACTGAATTTACTATTTGTATTACAGTTTACTATAATTATATTTACATAAATCTAATTTTACTTTATTAAATTAAATAAAAAATAAAAAATAAACAAAATACAAATACATTATGAAAATTCCCTCCTTATTAAAACCACCTATTGCAACCAAAATTATCTATAAGTTCAGGTTCATTTGGAGTCAAACAACCTAAAAGAACAAAAAAAAATATTGGAAACAAAACACCCCCTCATATAGTATCTGCAATCGTCCAAGTCACCAAAGGTCAGCATTCCTACAAAAAAAGAAAGAGAACTTCAGAATGTCTGATCTACATAAAAGAAAAGAATTATGAGGCGTCTAATGAAAAAGAAACCAAAACAATAAAATAAATCCAAAACTGACCTACAAAAAAAGAAGACTTTGAAGCAACAAAACTGAAACAACCAACAAAAAGAAAAGAATCTTACAAAAAAACAAGAAAATTCGAACTGACCTAAAAAAAGAAAAAAATCCTGAACAATCCTACAAAAAGGAAAGGACTCCCAAACTGATCTACAAAAAAGAAAAAAGAAACTGAATCTTCTCACAAAAAAAAATCTGCTGGCCTATGAAATAAATAAAAAAGAAAGAAAGGGAAATAAAGAATAAAATCAAAAAAAATTTTTTTTTTTAAAGGAGAGTGATGAAAAAAAATTTTTAAAGTGAGGTACTAAAAAAAAAATTTTTTTTTAAAAGGGGGGTGACGAAAGAAGAAGAAAAATTTAGAAAAAATAACAAAAATAAGGCAAGAGAAAAGAGAAGGAAGGGAAAGACAGAAAGGAAGATCGGAAGATCAAACTCATCAAAGTAAGGGTTTATATAAAAAACAAAAAACGTATCATAACAAAACAATAAACAATCACGTGATCTCGTGTTATGATACGAGATTTTTGTAAAATTATTTTCTAAAAATATTAAGTTTAAAAATTCCGTATACATTCCGTATGATTAATTTTTTCCGTATACATTAGTTTTTTTAAAAAATGTTCAAAAATGAATTGCTTATTAAATATACGGAATTTGTATACGGAAACTATAGAAACGTACATAAAATGTATACAAAACGTATCCTTTCCGTATACATATTTCTTATAGGGATTGGGTATTAAAGAATTTGGAAGTTGGCTGTGGAAATAGTGAAAGAATTAAAATATATATATGTATGGGATGAGTACGTTTGTGAGATAAAAAAAAAAAATATACTCTTTAATTACTCTTAAACAAAAAAGAATATGCCCGCAAAAATCTCTACAATGTGTTACATTCATGAATTCACTGAACGCCTTACTCAGGAGTTTACAGTAAAGGAAATTACGGCCGTTGCAAGATTGAATGATGATGATCCGACAAAGATTGTATATTTGAGAGTAAAGGCCTTCATTCCGGTAGATCAAAATATTCCATGTCAGATCAAAGATTTTAATAAAGGCCAAGTGATTTTCTTAAAAGGAAAGTTCATTGCTTGCGCCAGTTGGTATAGTGTATGTATTGGTTTGCGCGTGTACTTTTGAAGTTAATAAAAATTAGTTAAATTTTTTTTTTTTTATTATAAATCATAAACATATCAAAGGTTAATGCAACGTCTGTTAAGTTGATAGATAATATGGGATTCGATGATATGCCTGCGATCGGGTTTAATTTCATGATTATGGGACTAACCACCAAGACGATAAGAAATGTTAATAATCAATCGATTATTGAATTCTATGTAGAGGAAAACTTGGGTGATCGGGAACTGAGAGAATTTTGGGTTGAGGTTCGTCATAATGCGAACCTCAGATATCTTGCGAATAACTGCTTTGATTATGGGTACGTTAACCTATGAGATGCCGGTGTTAGACGAAACTAGTGGGGAAAAGACATCTCCGGGAAAGCACATATTAACATACTTTTCATTATTCTATACTTTTTATCTCCCATTATTTTCTATTACATCTTTTCATTTTCCATTATCTCTTTTCTCTCCTGTTTAATTCCCATCATTTCTTTTTGTCTCTCATCGTTCCTTTTCGTCTCCCATCACTCCTCTTCATCTTCCCATCACTTCTTTTCGTTTCCCATCATGCCTCTTTATCTTCTCATCACTCCTTTTCGTATCCCATCACTGGGGTGAGAATCACTTAATTAACAATAGAAGTATAAACAAATTAGTTATAGATATTACATAAATGTGAGAGAGCAAAGAAATAACTCGATGCTAGAACTCGCATTAAATGGCCTAGGATCCGCATACTCCCTTTCTCTTTGATAGCATCATATATTTCTCTATCTACCTTTAATCATTTTCTTATTATATCTGAAAAAATAATAAAAAAATTTTACAAATTGTATGCATAAGTGAATAAAAAACCAAGATTGTTACATCACCCAGAATGTCCATAATGAAACTGGTTCAATGACAACACACTAAGACAGACATATCGAGGTAGATGTGTCATTCTTAGGTTTTACATGCCTCGAACACTACTTTTTTTTCGAACTTGCATATTGATTCAGCAACGAGACTAAAGCATATCTTTTGAAATTTGATATATAACCATCTCAAGCACAATACACAAAAGCAGACATATCGAGGTAGACATGTCATCTTCAGGTTTTATATGTGTCAAGACGCTACAAATCCGAATGTTGAGCTATATTATTTTGGTGAAAAAAGACTTTGAAAGCCACGGATTATTACGATGGGAATTTTCTTGCGAAAGGAAAGGTGTAGGTAAACACAAAGGTTGTTAAACGTAAAACATAACCATATTATTTATTATTTGTTATGTTCAGACTCTAGGGCATTTTTGGAAAGAACGTTCTGAAAAAGGGGAGTATTTTTTTTTTTTTTTTTTTAGAGAAAACTGATGGTATATATATATGTTGAGAGTATATATATACTTGTAAAAGTAAAAAATCGCGACTCATGACTTGTGAGTAAAAAATGATTATATCTCATGCATGTGATTCTGCAATTGATGATGTGCGGAGCTTGTATATTGCGCCTATCAATATGTTAAAGGCTAATGTTAAAGCTAAATAAATTTACACAATATAAAAAGACTTTATGTTAAAAATTGCTCAATTTACTAATTAAATAATTTATTTATTTCCGGTATTTTGATAAAATTTCTGAAATATTATAAATTTCAAAACATATATGAAATATTACAATAAATTTATCTCGATTGCATATTCTTTGTTTCATATTTTTTTAAAATTTTAAAAAGGTTTTTATATATATTTTTAAGCTAAGATACTTTAATATACAGTATATATAATTTTTTTTGCTAAGATTGCGTTTCAATTTTATTGGTAATACGAATAATTACAAACTAAAAATAAAAACTTGCTCCCCTAGAAAACTAGACAGACGAGCAGTCACGAGCTCAACCTTGCCTAAAAAGGTTGATTTTTTTACGCCACTATATATTTTAGAGAGATTCTGACCGGAGTAAAAATCAATTTTAACGCAAAGGGACAAACCCACAGATACGTATCATATAACAGTTTGAATAAGATTTTTAGCATAATATTAAAAAGTGTGTTCAAGAACCTTGTATTAATATACATTACAATTATTTGTTTCTTCAGTTATTGTGTTTTCCTACATGATCGACAATTGCCAAGTGCAATCTTCCATAATCTACGGAACACCCTTTTCTTGAAAATCGTCGGGTTAAATCAAAAGATTTGATTTTTTTGACTAACGCATCAATTAATATTTCGCACGTTCATTATATATGAAACTAATGAAAGCATCGGTAACTTTAAATAGTTTTTACTGATCCGTTATTTAGGATTTAAAGAATTTTATAATTGAACGTTCCTTTTTTTGATTTGCGTTCCGATTTTTCTGTTATGAATTATGATCGTCCCTTTGTTATATAAGAGAAAGTCTTTTTTATTGATGTATCATAGTTACATCATTGCGTCAACAAATATATAATAATTGTGCCGATTAAATACCAAACAAAGTTAATATTTCATTATTTGGAATAATTTAATTCTGGAATTTGATAAATAAATTTATTAGGAATATGACCCTCTACAATACTAGCTATATTTACTGCACCATACCATATATACAACGACATATTTAGTTAGCGATGAAACATTTTAAAACCACTAATTAAGCGAGGCTTCTTCAAGTGTAAAAAAATTTTTTGAATTTTTTCTTTTTATACTACAAAGCAAAAGAAAATAATAGTAAAATATGATTTCGAAATTATTTGAAAATACTATTGATTACCTTTCGTTAATAGTTGTCGTATTAATAATTTATGTGACATATTATTATTATAAGTACTTTAATCGTATAAATCCTTTACCTGGTCCTTTTCCATTCCCATTCTTTGAAAATTTACCTCAATTATATTTTCGACATGGTGGAAATCTTAAAAAATTTTTCGAATCTAATCATAAGAAATATGGTGATTTATTCGAGTTCAATTTTAATACACGAACTATAGCTCTAGGTCGAATAGAACATATTGAAAAACTTTTATTAGCTTCATCAAAAAATCCATTTATTAAGACAATTTCTTATAATGATAGTAAAGGATTTCATGAATTAGAATTGATGGGAAAAGGACTATTTTTAAATCAAGATTATAAATCATGGAAATATAACCGTCATTTTTTTACACAAGTTATTTTATCACCAAAATTTTCTAATGAAGCTGTTCATTTAGCAAATAAACTTTTTAATGAATTGGAGAGTTATTGGAATAAATTATATCTTAAAGAAGGAGTTATCAATGAAAATAGAAATAAAATGGATGTTTCTACATGGTTTAATCAATTTACAAATGATATGATTATCACATTATTAACTGGTGAAAGATCTTATACAATGGCTGGATATTTTAATGAAGTTAGTGATGATGAAAAGGCTGAACGTCCGTCTGCATTAGTTGATGAGACTGTAACATTTGTTCGTGCAATTCGTGAACATCTTTTGGGTATATTAGTGTTTCAATTCGTCTCTCCTTTTTTAAGACATTATTTTCCATATTTTAAGAATAAATCAGATTATTATATTCAAAACATGAAATTTATGAATCAAAGAATGGATGCAATTATCAAAAGACGTAGAGAAGAAATTGAAAATACTCCATTAGATAAACCTTTACAAAACGACATGTTGACATCGATAATTACTGCAAATACACCTCGTGATATCAATTATACTAATAAAATTGATGATAAAGAAGTTTTGAGACCTATGACTGATCCTGAAATTCGTGGTATTATATTTGATGGAATAATTGCTGGAACTGATACTGTGAGTATATTTTTAAGTATTTGACAAAATTTTTGGTTTTGAATATTATTATAACCGTTTTATTCTTTCCTTCAATAGACTGCGAATACTATTTCATTCATTATCTATTATCTTGCACGTTATCCAGATGTTAAAAAGAAAATGTTGAACGAAATTGATAGAACTTTTCAAGATGATAAAACTCGTCCAATTACTGAAAATGATATCCATAATTTAAAGTATTGTGAAGCGATTGTAAAAGAAGTATCTCGCATTTTCACAATCGTAAATACACTTCAAAGATGTCTTGATAACAATAATGAAATAGGAGGTTATCAATGGCCAGCTGAAACAATGTTTAGAATTAATATTGATGCTATTCATCATAATGAAGAATATTGGGAAGAACCAAATAAATTTAATCCTGATAGATGGATGGTTGAAGGTTTTGAACCAAAGAAAAATTCATTTATTATGTTTGGAGGAGGATTAAGAGTCTGTCCGGGAAGGAAGTTGGCAATGATTGAATTATTTTGTTTAATGGCATTATTATTTAGAAAATATGAAATTGATTTAATAGATAAGGAAGCTCCTTTAAAAACTGAATCTGGTGTTTTAACTGTTTGTACTGAATTATTTGTTGAAATTAAATTAAGAAATTAATATTTTCGTAAGGATACGCAATATTTAATAATTACCGTATATTGCGGTGTAAGCCCCCCGAAAATAAGCACCCTGGCCAGAATTATGGCGATTTTGGCCAGAATTATTAGGATCTTGGCCGGAATTAAGTGCATAAATGGTGCTTATATACGGTATGTAAATTGTTATAGTACTTTAAATAAAAACTTTTTATATATGTATAAATTTGACATTTGTTAAAATTTTTTGTTGATCTGATTAGTTTGGGCTCTGAATCTCAAATTCTTATAACGTTTTGCTGATAGCAAAAAATTTTTTTAGGTTCGATTTTCCGCTAAAATTGTAATCGTCAAAATTGCTGATCACAAGTAATTTGCATAAAATCGCTTTACTAATAAAATTATCGCGGTTAATGATTCTGATTCTAAAATCGATTCTCATTTAGGAATTGATTCCATTTTCTAGCCTAATGAAAATTTTTATCAATTATATTAATATTTGAATTTTTTTTTATATGAATAAAGAAAAGTTAAATAAATTTATACGATATAAAAAGACTTTGTATTAAAAATTACTTAGTATCCAAATAAATTGCATCGTTTGAATTTATTATTTATTTATTTCCGGTATTTTGATAAAATTTCTTTCATATTTTTTTAAAAATCTTAAAAAAGTTTTTTTAGGCCACACAAATTCGAATTTTCGGTTCACTTCACCCGGCCGGGTCACTTTTTCAAATTTCAATAGAAAAAAGTTTATATATAAAAAGTTTATCACGTGATCAGGACGTAATTTTATTGGCGGGTAAGTTTATTATGCGGCTGAGAACTTCTAGAGCGAAAATAAATTCCTCCCTTTTAAAAGTCAACCAATCAAATGTCACGATTTTATATATAAACTTTTTTTACTAATAAACAATAAACCCCGGGTCCCCGGGTCGATTTTAAATTTCAATGTTACGTGAACCGAAAAATTGAATTTGTGTGGCCTTATATATATATTTTTTAATTAAGGTTATGTATACAGTATTTATATAATTTTTTTTTGCTAAGATTGCGTTTCAATTTTATTGAAGTAATAAACATACAATTAATTACAAACTAAAAAATATAAACTTGACTCCCTAGACAGACAAACCCAATCTTGCCTAAAATAAGATTTGTTGATCAATTTGAATACGAGTCTAAATTAAAGACAATGAAAAAACATGATTAAAATGGAGACAAAATTTACATGTACGTATACATACTTTTCATAAAAAATAAAAATGCTGTACGCCTCGATACTTGATCTGAAGACCCACCCCTGCCACTCGCCGAACAGGAGTTCATATAGAATTATTTGCTTTGTGAGAAGTAATTTTAAGCTAACTTAATTTAAAAAAAAATTAAAAAATAAAAAAAGGTTACTTTTAGAATATGAGAAATTGAAAACTTTTTATTATTTATGTATTTTTTTTTTATTAATAAAAATTATCTAAAGTTTTTTCATTGGAAGTTATAATCATAGATCGTATGTTTTGTACGATCAAATTTAATTTCTTCGCCAAAAAAAAATAAAAAAAATTTGATTATGTTTAGGGAGTATATGATCTCGATTTATTTTTGCTAAAGAAAGCATTATCTAAATGATGGATTTTCATTGACGCCAAATAAAAAGGGCTAGATAGAGTATTACATGATTCAAGTATTAGTGATTGTGTAGAAAATGCATTTTTGAAGATATATTTCTTTTGTTGGAGAAATTGATTCTGAGATGGCAACAATTACATATTTGGAACCAACAAAGGAAAATAAATTTTAGAATACGTCATATGTCTAGATTCCCGTGATGATCTACCATTTGATGAAGCAAAATTCCGTCAAGCAAATTTTTTATTCATTTTCACATACAAAAATTACCACGTGATTATTTTGCGCTAAACCAACCAAATTAAGCAAAGTGAAATAATTATTTTAATATTTCATTTTGTTTCAATTTAACTAAACTAAAAAAGAAACAAACTTCCTTTAAAATTAGTAATCTGCAAACATTAAAATGAACTACCTAAATTAAGTAAAATTAAAATTATATTTTTTTTATTCCAATTTAACTAAACTAAAAAAATCTTATTTAAAAAATATTAGTCATAATACGATCAGCACAACAAAATTTAATTTCGATCTCTCGGCCGCCAATTGGCTTTCGTTGTTGTAATGGAGGGAGAGTTAATTCATCTTTGGTCTCAGCCTTGAAGCAAGAGCAATCCAATGATCTTCATCAAATCTTTAGACTTAACCTCATAACCCCATCTGCCCATCCATTATAATATATTTTTCTTTGCTCTAAGTTGATAATTGTTGTGAAGTTTTATTATCGAGATGTGCATGTTAATTCCATAGTGGCTATGGTTCATAGAGAAATAAAACTAGTCTTAAACTAAATGATGGATAATGACGTGCATACCTTTATATAATTTCACCAAGTCAATATTTCAATCAGTTATGTTTTTGTTAAAGGCATTTCCTACAACTTCGAGAAATCCAACTTGATATTTCTTTCCATCTATTATCATGTTGATCATGCCGTCATGTTTCATTCCGAGTTTTGACCGCTCATTAATATCCCCCTTAGTATCATTCCTTTGCACTTTTTGTATTTCGTTCTCAATTTCTCCAGTTTCAAGCCACATAGAACGTTCAGTCATTTCAAATGCCCCTGCAAGCAAAAGATTTACAATTTCTAAGCGATAGCGAAGTTCAGAGGCATCTTTAGCACTTCTGTAACGTAGAAATTGTCGAGTCCTTATATGAAAAAATAAATTATAGCATAGCTATACAACAGTACAGAAAAAAACTTGTTATGAAAAACCTACAAATCAATGAACATCAAATTAATTCATCATCACGCTTGAGAATGACTATCAAAATGGCCTATTATTTTACGGTACATACTGTAACTACAAGTTGTTTTGTTTTGGATACATTCCATCTTTCTTCGATTGTTTTTTGGAGATTAGCTTCAATCTAATTAATTGTTATAAGTCTGCAATTTATTTAATCCAAAACTATATTACCTTTCCCCATTCATTCTCCAATGTTCTTATTGTATTGTAAAAGTTCTTTTGTGTACGGAAATTGTCTATCGAAGAGGGAAACAACCCTATATGTAGTAGCTAAAAGATTCTCCAAATTTTCATTGATTCAATGATTCATTCTTGAAAACCATTAATTATAAGTCTATATTTGATACTAATAATATAAATTACCTCAGATACAAAATCTTTAAGTGAATTTAGAATGTTATTGGATAATGCCCTCAATTTCGCTGTTTCCTTTGTTACCTTCGTTATTGATATCCAAGTCATTAAAAATTTCTGCATCATCATTATTAGACTGAACCCGCGCCTTATCTGTTTTGATTTTTGCCGGTTCGTCCCTAAGCCAATGAAAATATAAACAATATACTATCCATGAAGGTAAAATCAATAAATACAGTATAAACTCAGCGAAAAATATTAGGCCATTTCATGAATCAATAAAATAACTTACCTCATTCTGACTTTTAGCTTTAAGTCTTTCATCTAACTGACTATGAAAGTAAACATGTGCTTGAAGTTTTGTTTTTTTTTACTTTTTTCTATTATTCGAAGATGTTTGCTTTGTAAGTACTGCACCAGTTCCTTAAACTTAAATAAAAAAAATTTACATCAGCTTTTCGGCTTCGTTTCTTATCCTCATAGCCCTCCCAGTCGTCCCTATATTCATTATCCTTCCATTTCCTTTTTAAATCCAATAATTTTTTTGAATGTGGATCGACTTGTAATGCTTCATTTAGTTGTAAAATATAATCATTACAGCCAGATAATTTTTGGCAGTGATGGTATCGCATAAAGAAGTTTGTCGGTCGAGGACTCTCATCATCTATTAAGAATTTTTTTGCTCTTCACGAACCTTGTGTGATCTCATTTTTGTAACGCGTCCTTATTGTAATGTAACTATTGTAAAATTGTGTAAGTTGTGTAAGTTGTAACGCGTTTTTCATTGTAAACGTGCTTCTTAAAAAAGATATTAGTATGATCTGATTTTGCTGATTTTGATTGTACCACAAATCAAACAAATTAACGATAATCTTTTTTCCATTAAAACATAGCTAGTTTACTCGGCAGAAAAAACTGCTTGTAGAGGTTCCCTTGCTAGGTATTAGGCTGAGGTCGGGAAAAGAGTTAGCTTATTCACCTGGATAATAGGGACGTTACTACTATACTAATGACTGAGGTCGACCAGATGGATACGTTCAACGCTGGCTATTCTTATGTTCTGTTCAGACTGTACTCATAATAAAAGGTCCTAAATGTACATGCCTTCACAGGAAGTATTTGCTGTTTGCTATCTTAGTTCCTAATTATTTAAGATTTTAACGAAGTATCATTTGTCTCACTCTTGCAATCAAAATTATTTAGTAAACCTAATTTGTGAAACTTTATTAATATTTCAGAACGTTAGTGAAGCTACAAAGTGAAGATTAGTAGACAGAAAAGCGAATGAAATGTATGATGCTATCAAAGAGGGAGGGAGTACACGGATCCTATGCCATTTAATGCGAGTCCCAGCATCAATTTGTTTCTTTGGGCTTTTCTGGACTATTGCTATTAAATTATTTCGCTAATATATACAGTATGCCTATCTACTTTGCTAACTATAAGATTCAAAAAATCAAATTTTTTTTTAATTTGTTATTTAAAGAGTATAGTTTGATTATAAAATTTCATAATAATTTCTTCATTGATAGTTTGCATGTGATTTCAATAATTTAAATTTGTATAGTTATTTATTATTTATAACGTAATTATTATCTTTTGTTATTTCTAATTTAAAATATGTCCTCACATGGAACTATTTGGAGCTCCTGTTATGACTAAGTTAACTTGTTGTTAATACGACACATTTAAAATAACAAAAGTTTTCGTCCATCATAACGAGCTTTATTTTGATGTTTGCATTGTATCTGTATACATCAAAAAAATCCTATGAGTACGAATTTTAACAGAGATAGAAAGTTATATGATCATTTAAATAAAAAAAAATAGGGCGGTTCCGTGTATCTTTTATGAAATCAGTATAAATGTGCTCGTTAAATCGTTAAATAATTAACAAAATAAATAGGACGATTATAACCTGCAAATTAATTTTTTATGAGTAGAATCGAAGAATAAGCTGACAACCAAATGGGTCAAAATCCATTAAGTGAAATTTATCTTATAGCATTTCTTACTGTTTACAATTTTTAAGAATAAAATGATTAAAAATATGCAAAAAATGGGAGTTTCTTAACATTAATATAAAAGTACAATAATTTAATTAATTTATGCGACTAGCCAATCGTAACGCGGGTCCAGCTACAGTATATTAAAGTTTCATTTGTGACAATGATCAAATAGCCAAATATCAACATTAAAATTAATTACAGCTATAAAAAATTTCTCATCCTTATTTTTACCAATTCCTTTAAAAATTGATAAAATTATATATATTTTGGAAAAAACAAAATTAGAATTCTAAGTAACTTATAGAAATTATATTCGTACAATTGATTCAAATCCAATCATATCGGCGGATTGTATTAACGTATATAAGGCGCAGTAAAAACCGGGTCGAACATTAAAAAAAAAAAATTTTATCAAATCATAACTTAATAATACTTGTTTTAAGCTAAAATTCAATAAATATGATTTTTGGTAATAATGATTTAATATTTGTAATGAGATTTTTCCTTCTGCAATAACTTTAAAATATTTTTGCAGAAATTCGTATAACGACGCTCACGATCATTTTAAGAATAATAAGTTCCTATATATTGTACAATTAAATAATTAAAGGTTAATTAAATATTTTAAAAATATGAAAAATATATATCAATATATTTTATTGACTCTTTGAACATATAAATACTGTACTTATAATCATTAAAACTTGCATAAATTTTTATTTTAATTTTTATTTTATTAAGACATATTCACTTTCTAATAATACACATTAAAAATTACTATGGTGGTGAGAAATGGATTTTTTACGCCTATTTTATTATTATGTTTAATAATTTGAGTTTCGCTCGTTATTGATGTAATTTTGAGTAAACGTATTTTGACTATTTTCTAAAAACAACGGGGGAAAAACAAAATTTCGGAATTTTTTTAACCGGATCATATGAACAGAATTGAAACTCTTTAGGTCTTTCCCATTTTAAGTAAAGAAAATTATGAATTATATGTAAGATACCAACTGAGTCACGACCGGAAAAATTCGGAATTATAAAATTTTTTACCGGATTTAGTAAAATCCGGATAAATTTTGAAATTCTTCCTTACATGATCGACATTTTGTTGACAAATGCCAATCTTCCGATCATCTGCAGAATCTCTTTTTGAAAATCGTCGGCTAAATCAAAAGCTTATTTGATTTATTTTGACTAACACATCAATTATCGTATACTTATCGTTACGAAAATATCGGAAACTTTTATTATTTTTACTAATCCGTTATTTATTATTTATCTTTTAAAGAATTTTATTATCTGAATAGTCGAACATTTTTTTGTTTGATTTGCGTTCTGAATTTTACATTAATAATCCCGATGCAATACAATGACAATAAATGATTGTATGTATACAATACTAGCTATGTTTACTGCTTCACATCAACATATTTAGTTAGTTCTTTAGGTACAATAAGCTTTTGAGCTTTGTTTTCATGTTCCACTATAAGTCTTTTGTAGGTTAACAAACCAGATCGTAATATTGAATTAACCGGGTCCTGATCATTTTAAACCTGATTAAGCGAAAACTCGGTTAAATTCCATCTATTATACTTGGGGAACGGAAAAATGTGTTTCTTTAATTATTTATTGATAAAAAAATTGGATATAAATATCGCTTTTTCAAGTCCAAGAAAAATTAAAATTTTTTTCTTTTATACATTACCAAACAAAAGAAAATAATTTTAAAATATGATTTCGAAATTATTCGAAAATATTGATTACCTTTCATTGATAATTGTTGCATTAATAATTTATGTGACATATTATTATTATAAATACTCTAATCGCATCAATCCTTTACCTGGTCCATTTCCATTTCCATTATTTGGGAATTTACCTCAATTATATATTTGGCATGGTGGAAATCTTAAAAATTTTTTCGAATCTAATCATAAGAAATATGGTGATTTATTCGAGTTCAATTTTTATACACGAGCTATAGCTCTAAATCGAGTAGAACATGTTGAAAAACTTTTTTTAGCTTCATCAAAAAATCCATATATTAAGACATTTTCTGATAATGATAGTAAAGGATTTCATGAGTTAGGAATAATGGGAAAAGGACTATTTTTAACTCAAGATTATAAATCATGGAGATATTACCGTCATTTTTTTACACAAGCTATTTTATCACCAAAATTTTCTAATGAAGCTTTTTATTGGACAAATAAACTTTTTAATGAAATGGAGAGTTATTGGGATAAATTATATCTTAAAGAAGGAGTTATCAATGAAAATAGAAAAAAAATGGATATTTCTCCATGGTTTAATCAATTTACAAATGATATGATTATTACATTATTAACTGGTGAAAGGTCTTATACAATGGCCGGATATTTTAATGAACTTAGTGATGATGAAAAAGCTGAACGTCCGTCTGCATTAGTTGATGAGACCGTAAAATTTGTTCATGCAATTCGTAAACATTTTATGGGTATATTAATGTTTCAATTCGTCTCTCCTTTTTTAAGACATTATTTTCCATATTTTAAGAATAAATCAGATGATATTATTCAAAACATCGAATTTATAAATCAAAGAATGGATGCAATTATCAAAAGACGTAGACAAGAAATTGAAAATACTCCATTGGATAAACCTTTACCAAACGACATGTTGACATCGATAATTACTGCAAATACACCTCGTGATATTAATTATAATAAAATTAATGATAAAGAAGTTATGAGACCTATGACTGATCCCGAGCTTCGTGGTATCATATTTGATGGAATAATTGCTGGAACTGATTCAGTGAGTGAATTTTAAGTCTTTAAATATATAATTAATTTTTTTTGACTATGAATATTATTTTAAAGTTTTATTCTTTTCTTCAATAGACTGCGAATACTATTTCATTCATCATCTATTACCTTGCACATTATCCAGATGTTAAAAAGAAAATGTTGAAAGAAATTGATAGAAATTTTCAAGATGATAAAACTCGCCCAATTACTGAAAATGATATTCATAATTTAAAGTATTGTGAAGCGATTGTAAAAGAAGTATCTCGCATTTTCTCAGTCGTAAATTCACTTCCAAGATGTCTTGGAAAACCTGATGAAATAGGAGGTTACCAATGGCCAGCCGAAACAATGTTTAGAATTAATATTGATGCTATTCATCACAATGAAGAATATTGGGAAGAACCTGATAAATTTAATCCTGATAGATGGGTGGTTGAAGGGTTTGAATCAAAGAAAAATTCATTTATTATGTTTGGAGGCGGATTAAGAATCTGTCCGGGAAGAAAGTTAGCAATGTTTGAATTAGTTGGTTTAATGGCTTTATTATTTAGAAAATATGAAATCGATTTGGTAGATAAGGAAGCTCCTTTAAAAACTGAATCTAGTGCTATAACAGCTTGTACTGAATTATTAGTTGAAGTTAAATTAAGAAAATAATATTTTCGTAAGTATTTAAAGGATATGCAATATTTTTCAATTATATTTATTAAGTATTTTCGTAAGTTATATGCAATATTTCTATTATATTAAGCTTTTTTTTTTTTTCGTAAGTATTTAAAGAATATACATCATGCAATATTTCTATTTTATTAAAGGATATGTATTATTTTCAATTATATTATGCAGTATTTTTAAATAAAAAAAAATCTTTTTAACTCGTACATATATATGATTTTGATAACATTTGTCAAAAAATAATATATTTTCTTTTTGATTTTGTAAGACCTGATTCATGTGATTTATAGTATCATTGAGTTTTTAAAAGATGAGCCCCTTATGTTGTGCGAAGAGGTTTGAATATAAAAAGTGCCATGTAAAGAATTAGTAAAGATATTTGATGATATAGAGCGGGCACAGATTTATATATTAGAAGAGGGTGAAAATTATTAATGTTTGTGTTATTGAATTAAAGAATCAAGGAATGTGGTGCTAATAACGGATCAGAGGTTCTTATGGACTAAGAAAAACTTTATCTTCCATCATCATGATTTAATTATTTTATCTTCTGCTGATTCAATACTAGTTCTTCGCATAGTATGGTAAAAGAAAAAATATATGTAGTATAGTACGTAATTTTCAAAAATTTTTTTTTTTTTTTTTTTTTTGCTCATTTAATTCAGAAAACACGAAATTGTGAATGAAAATGTAAATCCTTTTTGGTATTAAATAGGCACGAATTTAGTTAAAACTTAAAAAAAAGTATCTCCACACGAAAACATAAAAACAGTCACATGATAATTGGCCAATCAAAATACGTTATTTATTATATATAACGCGCCATGTTTTCATTATTTTTTTTGTTAAATTTTCAGTAGACATAATAACCGAAGCAAATAAAAGTTTACATTATCGCTTAATTGAAATGCTAATCATTAATTGTTTTGTATGTATTTATTTAAATATTTCAACATAAAAAAAAATGAAATTTAAATAATTAAAAAAAAAACTAATGGTTATTACTGTTGTGCCCCAAATCTCAATATGCCCCAAATTGGCGATAATCATCGATGATTACTATATGTGAAAAGTAATGCTTTGAAAATTCTTAAGGTATTATAAAGATGGGCCGATAATTTAGGCCGATCATTGATTTGGGGCAATCGTCAACTTGGGGCACAACATTACCATATTGAAAATCTTGGGTTTGATAAAACGCATTAACGTTTAAACAACACAAGTATAAAATCGGTAAGAGTTGACCTAACAAAAAAAAAGAAGACTCTGAAGCAACAAAACTGAAACAACCTACAAAAAGAAAAGAATCTGAACTCAACTTACAAAAAAAAAAGAAAATTTGAGCTGACCTAAAAAAAGAAAAAAATCCTAACCATACTACAAAAAGAAAAGGACTCTCAAACTGATCTACAAAAAAGAAAAAGAAATTCTCAAAAAAAAATCTGCTGGACTATAAAAAGAGGGGTGAAGAAGTTAGGAAAGTTAAAAAAATTTTTTTTAAAAAAAGGGAGAACGTTTTTTTATAAAGAGGAAATAGAAAGAAGAAATTTTTTTAAAAAAAGGAAAGGGTAGTGAGTGGGGAATAAAAGAATAAAGTCAAAAAAAAAATTTTTTTTAAAGGAGTGATGAAAAAAATATTTTTTTTAAAGGAGAGTGACGGAAAAAAATTCTTTTTAAAGGAGGTGACGAAGAAAGAAAATTTTTTAAAGTAAAAAAAACAAAATAACAAAAGACAAAAAATAACAAAAATAACAAAAATAAGACGAGAGAAAGGAAAGACATCAAAGTAAGGGTTTATTTATTTATTTATTTATTTTAAGGTAAGCCAGGAGAGTACATTGATAATTTGGTAGTCTTAACAAACTAGAAAACTATAAAAATACACAATGCAGCATCGTCGCCCAATAAATCAAGCCCTGACTAGAATTAAAAGAAAAACTACTTTATAACCCAACCGAAATAAAGTAGGAGAAACAATTAAAAAGAAAACTAATTAACCCGTATTTTTCTTTCAGCAATAGCTGCCACCTGTAAATACTGTCATAGGTGGAATGGTTCACACTATTTGAAATTGTTAGTAAAAAAGAAGGAACTAAACTATATATATATAGTATGTAGAATAAAAGAACCCAAATAGACATATCATGTCTTAAAAATAAAAAAAAGATCAATATTAGCGGGTAAAAAACAATTTTTTTTAGGAGAACATATAGAGTCACCAACATTATCATGCATAATGAACGAGTTTAGAACGTCTTTTTTTTGGACGAAGTTCCAAGCGTTTAGTATCATCGGAAGTCTCTCCCATATCATCGGGTACAAGTTCTACATTGGAGTCTCACCAAATCGGGCGGAAAGATTTCTTGGGACGATATACCGTCTTAAAATTAGCCGGGAATTTGCAAAGTAAGGGTTTATTTTTTTTTATTTTTATTTTTAAAATATAGACTCGACTGGGGTCGAACGCTAAATAGGAATAAACATGGTCTAAAAGATCAATGAATTCTAAGCTAGTGTTATACCTGTCTCTTATACACATCTAGATGTGTATAAGAGACAGACCCAACCTCTCGGGAGAAGCCCGAAGGGGTCGTCTTGCCCATTATTCAACCAAACAAACAGGCATAACCGGAGTTCAGACAAAACCAGTAAAAAAAGAACAAAAAAAAAGAAAATGGAACCTAAACCTAAGGGAGAGGAACGTTACAAAAGGGTTAGTTCAAATATATCACTGGAATCCGTATTTTTCTTTTGTCATAATGACACCACACGTAAATACTGTCAGGTGTGGAATGATGCATTTTTAAAGGTCCGGTGTTGTTGAACTCAATCAAGTGAGTTAATCATATGATGGCGTAGGTGGAAATTCCACGACGGAAGGTCCTTCGCTAGCCGAAAAGTAAGTAATGTCGCTCATGGTTGTGTGCGAGTCATTATCCGGAGGAGGTGTACGCCGGAAAAAGAGGTTCGGATCATTAAAAATATGTTGATCAGTCTTTTTGATGTGGTAAGAAACGTTAGGAGGTGGTTGTATAGAATTCATCGTGACGTATTTGTCATGATGTTGACGGTATAACTCAACCGCTTTGGAATAACCATAATCATATTGAGGGATCGAACTGACATTATAGCGTCGTCTAATATTGTAGTCGAACAAGTTGATATTATACGTATCGTAATAATATGTTCGCTGGTCTCCAATGAAACCGGCAGGTAAAGGAGGTAATTGTTTCTTGAGACGGTTACGTTTTTTAGTACGACGGATCCAATTCTTGATCCTTTGGCGTGTGCGTAGTAGGGCATAGTGCATATGACCATTAGGTGAATTTTTGAATATGTCAGAACGTTGTATAGGTGAAGGTCCTTTGTAACGGTGTGGGAGATGATGAATGGTTTTAAAAACCATTTGTCCAGGGGAGTTTGGAAGTAAATGAGGTGTGATAGTCCGATTGGAGCGATTTTGTTTAAGTGTAGACATAGTAAGTCTATTCCATCGTGCCTGCTGTTGAGGTGAACGAACCGCATCAAAACGTAACGTGCGGTATTGTTTGTAATATGGTCGAACCATTTTATTATGAACGCTAGGTAAAGTTAATTCATCTGAGCGATATCGTTTAAATTGAACGATGTAGCTAATGCCGAGGCGATTAGAGTGAATTGCTTTGTGATGTCTTTTATTCTTGTTATGCCGGTTTACCGTAAGTCCAAACTGTTCAGCATAGAATCTAGGTTCTACTGGATGACGAGTTGTAGTGTGTGAAACTTGTCGGATGTGTTTGAGATGAGTTCCACAACGCCATCGATTATTTGATTGTACGAAGGCGGGAGGGTGGAAACATAGTGAACCCGTATATTCACCAGGTTCGAAATGTAATGTGCCGCAAGGGAAATAAAAACCCAAATAGATCACGTGATGGCCGCAGCTGAACCGGATAAATGTTTTAGTTTTCCTTTCATTATTATCGGTCGATTCTAGTCGATTGCGTAATGCAAGGAGTTTTTCTTTTAGTAAATGGCGTAAACGGCTGAAATATTTGTTCACAGCATCCTTGTGAAATTGTCGATTTAGAGAAAAAACGAACGTGAGGTAGATTCCTAAAATGTAATTTAAATTTGGTTTATTAGATGTAGATCGAAATGTGTGACGATGATTTTTTGATAATTCAATATCATTGGTGTAAATCAGGTATTTGTTAATTTCCGTAAGAGGAAGATCGGCTTTTTCAGACAACCGAAGAAGGTAATATCGTCCTTTCTTAGTATTGTACAGGGTTCCACTGCCACGAGTATCACATGACAGGTAAGGCGAAAGCTTGGAAATTCTCATGGAAACGTCAAAGATTTTTTTTTGAGGTTTGTAAAGACGTAAAATAGCCTGCGAAATAGGCGGAGGGGTAGTAGAGTCGGGTGGAGAGTCCATAGGCCGAGCTTGAGAGGACTTTGTGAGTTTATGTCAGATGAAAAGTGGTACTTCATAAAAAGACCGGGAAAAAAAATTTGTTCCAACTTTTTATCACGCAGAACGACAGGGCAAGGAAAATGGACAAGTGACTCGAGAGAAGTAAATAAAAAAGTAATAATAAACTATATGTGAAGGTGTTGAGAGGTAGGAAAACTCTAACGAAACTAAACGGAGGCAAACGTTTTTGTAAAATTTAAAAAAATAAACGTACGACGTTGTCATAAATTTTGTTCCGAATATTGTGGAAAAGAGTTTTTTTTCTCAGTAAGGGTTTATATAAAAACAAAAAACGTATCATAACAGAATAATAACAATCACGTGATCACGTGTTATGATACGGAATGATTGTAAATTATCCTAAAAATATTAAGTTTAAAAATTCCGTATACATTCCGCATGATTAATTTTTTCCGTATACATTTCGTATACATTAGTTTTTTAAAAAAATGTTCAAAAATGAATTGCTTATTAAATATATGGAATTTGTATATGGAATCTATAGAAACGTACATAAAATGTATACAAAACGTATCTTTTTCGTACACAGATTTCTTATAGGGATAGATAGTCACTGTTTATTTTTTTATAGTAATACGCACCTGTTACACCATTTAAAAAATCAATTTAGAATAGTGTGAATCATTCCATACCCTAACAGTATTTAGTATTTACGTATGGTGGCCTTCTGGTCGAAAGAATTATTTTATTCTTCCTAGCCTTAGTCTTTTTTTAATCCTCCTTTGTTCGTTTTAATTGGCCTAGCGATTTATTTTCCTAGTGTTAGCTCATTTCTTTACGAAGGGTGAACTCCTTATGGGTGTATAGTTTTAACTTACTCTAGTTAATCTTGTTTTACAGTATTGTATTTTATTCCTCTAGGGTTAGTCATTGTGTCATCTTTCTTAAATAAAGTAAAATAAAATAAATAAATATAAATTAATAACTTTATTTACTATTTTTCACTATATAAAATGATTCTTCAAAATATTTAGATAATCATAATAAATACTTTTATTTTCATTTTCGACCTAATTTTGCATATAATGCTGGCCAAAACCATCATAGTGTCAGTCAAGGACTATAATTATGGCCATAGACTTTTTTTTCATTGTATACATGATTTCTTTCATTTTTTTTTCTATACTACTAGTACATTAATCATCTGGATTCCGGACCAAACTAGTTCGTACATTTTTTCGTACATTTAATTAAATTATTGTTTTACGCAATAATCCTTTTAATTATAAAACTTAAAGACTGAAGGTGTATATCATTAAGAAATATTTAGATGAGTATAAATAAAAATAAAAATTTGATCGTGAATACACATTACACAAATATACTAATATGATCGTCAGAAATTTCTGGAATAAATAATACTAATTTTTTTATTTTATAAAATTTAAAATTATTGGATAAACCTGTTTTGCTTATTTATTGGTGAAAGGCAATTTCAATATATACGATATACGAATAGTTTCTGAGAAAATTAAAAATTAGGGTTTGTTCATCCCATAATACTCGTGGTACCTGATTCCTTTAATAGTTTTTTTTAAAAAAATTTAAATTTTAATATTGTGAATTGTAAACATTTTAATAGAAATAAGGGTAATATTACATTATATAACTTTATTGAACTTAAATATTTTAAAATGCCACATTTCAGAAAAAAAGATTCTCATTCTAGCTTTTTTAAAAAAAAAGATGACGATGATAATTATAAAGATATGGCCAAGAAATTATTATTAAATAGGAAAGAATAAAGTAGATCGAATGGAACCTCAAGTTAAAATTTATTGTATTGGTGAAAAATAGAATAAAAGAAAAATATATTAATAGCATAAATAAAAAAATCTGTTGAATTGAATTTTGACATCTTTAAAATAATTTATTTACAAAATTTTTTCTCTTAATACAATTATATCGCTTAGAGAAGGACCTCAAAATATAAGTCAGGTTCAGACAAAATAATTTTATTATTAGTTGTATGCATTTTTTTGGTGATAATTTCAGTCAGTATCTAAAAAAGGTAATAAAATTTCCGCCCGCATCACCTAAAAGGAAAGATTTACATGATTTTTATTTTTGATACTACTTAAGCTACAAATTTAATATTTTTTGTAACGTATCAAATTTAACTGAACGTCTGAACAAATTTTTGGATATCTAGATAGGAAGTCTCATTTGGATAAATAAATAGGTTGATAAAAAATATCTTGTTGGACTCAAAAAAATATTTTTTAACCATTTAAAATCGCAATAATATATCGTAAAAAAGATATACTCGTTGTTAAAATTATCACTTAGTTTGATATTTAATAAAACATAAGGCTCATTCTCAAAATGAAATCAAATCATAAGGAAATCCACTATAAAAATGCTGGATCTTAATTAAATATAAAAACAATTAACGCCTGTCACACAATCTAGGATTTACAGGTACAATTATAGACAAATAAAAAGAATGGATGATTACTTTTTTAATATAAATCTAGTTACAGTAATACAAACACAATGAAAAATTTTAAATTACAAAAAAAAATTCTTTCCCCTCGATCGCTTAACCAAAATTTTATGGTCAAAAAAAAAAAAAAAAAAGTTATATGTGAAGAGACTTAAGAGTTACAAAAATTTTATTATTTCAAGTCTTTCTTTATCAAAACTAAAGTTTTATCATTTCATTTTTTTCATTATATGTTATATATGTATATCTTTTGAATTTTTTTTTTTTTGGAATTAGAGAAATATTGACCAAAGATGATTTACGCAAATAGTTGAAATATACGATAAAAAGTTCAAGCTTCTATTTCGATAAAAGTTAACAAGAATGTTGAATGTCAGTATGATAGTACTCTATTCAACTTTTTATGGAGTAAAGAAGACGGTTAGATGACTTGATGAAGAAGATGGCTGCGGGTGGTGAAGTAAGGATGATACTCACATGATGACCATGTGTTGATGATTGATTAAATAGATAGCGGAACCACCTGCAGATCAAGGATGATAAGAACGGGAAAATAATTTAATTTTAAAATATTCTAAAAATTCTATTATCAAGTGGGAAAATTTTTATTTGTAACTGCAGTACAAGGATGGTAATACTTATAAATTTTTGAAATTATAAAACAAAAAGCATTGGGAATTTTAAATTAGTATGTGGCATATGCAGCAATACTTTATTATTAGTCTTTTACGTCTATGTAGTTGAGAAGTGTGGTATTAGTATAGCTTCTTGATGATTTTCATTAAAGAGAAAAATGATTTTAAATTATCTAATTAGTAATTTTTTTTTTCTTTTGTACAACATGTACGTTTGATTTGCGTAAGTTTAGGTAGTACAATGATGTTTGCTTTATGTAACATTCATTTTGGTTATACATTACTATTTTAATCCTGTATAACTTCGGAGTTAAAACGCCGGTTTCATCCTTTTCTTTTTTTTAATAAATATATTTATAAAAGAATTAAAAACCTTATAACGTATTTCATTATGTCATTGGGTGAAAATAAATTAATTAATAATGCAATTAATAGATCATATGCATTAATAGATTACAATATTTATGATGATATACACAAAAGAAATGAATTCCAAAAACAAACAATTCTTGATGATAAATCACTTACGGAAAATGAAAAATCTGAAGCAATAAAATTACTAACTAAAAATTATGATCTTAATAAACTTCTTTTTAATTCAGGAACAAAAAGAATTTGTGAAAATTGTAACCAAAAATGTTTAGCTACAACATATTGTGACATTTGTGTTCGAAATTATTTAAAAGCAAATTTTTCAAATTGGACATCTGGAAATGATATTATTGATAATTTAATACAAGAATGTCAAATGAAAACAATTGTCCCTTATCTAATACCAGAATGGATTCCATATAATAATCTACAAAATATTGAATACCTAACAAAAGGTGGATTTTCAGAAATTTATATAGCAGGCTGGATTGATGGGTGTTTTATTGAATGGGATTCTAAAGAACAACAATTAAAAAGATTTGGAATACATGATGTAGTACTTAAAAGATTAGAAAATGTTGAAAATGCAAACCAAAGTTGGATTGAAGAGGTTTGTAATTTAAATACTAAAAAAGTTAACAAATAAATTTTTGTTTAAAATTTTTTAATGGTTTATTTTATAGGCTAAATCACATTTAAATATAAGCAATAAATGGAATCAAATTGTCCAATGTTATGGATTAACACAAGATCCATCAAATGGAAATTATATGCTTGTAATGAATAAACTGGATACAGATTTAAGAAAATATTTACAACAAAATCATAATCAACTTACATGGAAAGAAAGAATTCAAATTATTACTGATATAACTGCTGCGCTTAGTAGAATTCATGAAGAAAATGCAATTCATAGAGATTTGCATTCTGGAAATATATTATTTAGTAAGGGTAGATTTGATATAAGTGATCTTGGATTTTGTGGACCTGCAGATAAACCATTAAATAGCATATATGGAAATCTTCCTTATATAGCACCTGAGGTTATTATTGGAAGAGAACAGACTTTTAAATCTGATATTTATAGTATTGCAATGCTTATGTGGGAAATTTCATCTGGACAACCACCATTTAATAATTATGAACATGATTATGATCTTGCAATGAATATTGTTAATGGTATAAGACCTAAAATTGTACCAGGAACTCCTTTAGAATATAAAAATTTAATGAAACAATGTTGGAATGCTGATCCCTCAAAAAGACCTGATATAAATGCACTTTGGAAAACAATAGCTGAAATTAATTTATTATATCAAAGTAAATCAAATGAATCATTAACTCAATCAGAAGAAAATAATAATTTTGAAATGGAAAATCATACCAGCAGTGGCAAGCTATTTACAAGTAAACTTCATCAATTTGATAATCTTCCTGAACCAAGAAATGCAACAGAAGGTATTTATTGATTTATTATTAACCTTTTT